TTTTTTTCGATGAGGAATCACCTTCTCAAATGTTTTACTGTTATTCAGTTACACCCTGTATTAAATAAGATAAACATTAGTCATATTATTATCAGTGGTAACTTGAGTTCTACGTACTAGTTTGCCAGTTTACAAAAGCCTGACATACTGCAGTGATAGACAGGAGAAGGTGTATCATGATAATTTTTTGTTAGTAATCAGTATTTCAAAATAAGACTTGTTTAAATAAATATTAATTTTATAAAAACAATCTGTCTGTTCAAAATCTGTTTTTCCAATAATCTTTTATAAATACTCACGTAAACATCCACCATTATCTGGTGGGTCATTTCCTCTTTCTGTGATGTTTATGAATGCTTTTTGAGGAATCGAGTTGACATATAGTCCTTTCTTATCCGAAATTCCAGGCAACTCGGCTTCTCCAGGATTGAAGAGTTTCTTAACATTTATCTGTGAAAACAAAAATTCACTTCATATATATTCAGTTACTGTGATAATGCTTTTGATGGATTCAGCTCTCAGAATATCTGAAAGGAAAAGTTTAGATGTACAATAAACCCATCATGCTTCAGATATATTAAAGTTCTTATAATCTGCAGTTTTTTTTCATTCATATTCCAAGTGGAAGATGGCTGTTTCGGTCTTTGGACCTCAAAACTAACCGAAAAAAAAACTGTAGACTACCAGTCGAAAACCGGTCAAATTTGGCAATGGTGAGGCTCAAATTCTGAAAAATCTCTCGATTGGCACATGAGTTGAAGGAAAATTGCAGACGGTCAGAAATTCTAGTCAATCCGCTTCTTGATTAATGAAGTTTTGCTAGAAAATCATCTATAATACTTTAGGAAGCCTCATATTTCTTCAAGATGAGTATGAGTGATATCTATAAATATCTATAGAAGACATTTAAGTTGCTTACCTTTCATCAAATGTGCATTTGGATTTAAGAAAAAAGTATAAGGTGCTGAGATTTAGGCAACGCCAATTTTGAAATGCCATGTTTCTAAAGAGCTATTTTTGTTCACTCCAACAACTTGATTGTACTAAAACATGTAGCAATGTGATAGTATTAAAACAGCTAGCAAAAATATATAATACTTTAAGCACATCTACAATCTGCTAACTGGATTTTCCAAGTATTAATCTCAATTGAATACCGAAGTCGCCAGAAATGTGATATTTTGGAGTTTCAATATGCAAGAACCAAACAGAAGAAAATATAGCTCTGAAAAGAAAACTTTAAGAAAAATGAGAAATGAATCAAAATGACCTATCAAGCTGAAGTAGTTCCGTTAGTAAAACCTTCAAGCCAGACAGAGACAAATGAATGTTTTGTTTATCTTCGTTTGATGAAAATATGTTAATGGTTGTTGAAGATTTTGAAGCATTTCAAAAATTTGATGAGTTGATGTATAGCTTTTCTTATTATTTTCAATATCACTGATAGCAAATGAACTGATCTTTTGCTACTCGGAACATTTTTCTTGCTTTTTTGGTGCAGATTGAGCTCATGCGATACTCTAATGGAGAGAGAAACCCTTTTTTAGTAAAATAAGAGGTTAAGAGTCTATAAAACACAGAAAGCAGATTTCTTGTTGATGTTAAACAGTTTCAGGATCAAAAAAACATTATTCATTTCGGTTAGTTAAGCAATACAATTTCATACCTGAAATGTAAGTATGAATGAAATTATGAGCATAAAATAATGCGTTTACATTGAACATGTTTTTTTAAAGAATGGCAGATTAGACATTTGAAAATGTTTATATAAGAATGTTGGAATAAAGAAATAGTAGGTGACGAGTAGTGTAATAACAACTGACCCAAAACATTACAATAGAATTTCAATAAATTCATCAATTCACACTTACCGCTTGTAAATATTTCTTGAAATCCAGCTTGATCGTCGTGCTGAACTTAGGAATTTTAACAGAGACGGGCCCAACATGTTCTAAGTAGTCATGTGTGTGAGGAGCCAAGTAGTCGAAAATATGCTCCTCAATGTTGGTCAAATTGTTGTCTGGATCTGGGAAAATGATTACGAAGGACTTATTGAAATGTTCGAAAGGTAGCTCTACGTATTTCGCTTTCAAATGTCCACAATGGAATACCCTGAAATCTGCAATTGCTGATAGATATTCGATTTTGTCAGGATCATTGGGAGAAGTGAAAAAGTTATCTTTTTCTACAGATATGAGAGGGTGTTTCCAAATAGCACTTTGATACAATGTGTTTACCAGAATAATCTTGTTTCGAGGTCCCAATTCAATGGGTTCGATAAGATTTTGCAGACGATCATTAGAACGTTCATCCACATAAGAGTTTATCAAGTTTGCTGTATTGAGTCTATCTTCAAAATTCACATTCTGCGTTTCAACGTTGAATATATCCTTTGATTTTCTGGTGAATGTTCTATTTATTTTATAATCATCTGCTACGTAAACTTTGTAAGCTGGTGTTAAAAAACTGCCAGGTGTTGATTGATACAGAAATGAAGTTATTTCTTCGAACGCTTCCTCCGAATCTGGGTTTTCTAAGATGTCAATGATCTGTTTCTTTGTTTGTCCTGAAGCTCCTTCCAAAGCGACAGCTCCCAGTACGGTTTCTGCTGCCAAGGGACTGAAAACCAAGCTTCCTTTAACATCTTTTCTGAAATTCTAAAATGGTATTTGACGGTTAAAAAATGTATGAGAACGTCATGAAGGAATTTTCATTATCTTGGACAGTTAAGTCCATTAAGAAAAGACTATATAGTGAGATTTTCGCACAAACCGCAATAACCATATGGAGCTGGAATTAATTTTCTTGAAATTTTTGATTTTATAAACTTTGAAAGTACTTTCGCACATTTTTTGATGTATCATTGTGTGAATCATTACGAATTTGAAATTTTAATTCACACAAATAAAAATTCACATGAAAATCTCAAAAAGCTAAAATTTGAAGAAAAATATACAACTAGTCAAAAGTCATTAATGCTGATTTGAAATGACTTTTTGCTGTTTGAGTGTAGCTAATTTGTGAATAAAACAAATCATTGTGAACTGAAATTAAAATGAATGAATAAATGGGTTGAACAGTAAGTGAAATGTCAATTATATGTAAACAATAAGGATAAAAAAAATTGAAAATAAAAATGAACTAGCCGAAGTTGTGTATACTAAGCATCTTCAAGCGTCACAATAGTATTGTGTCCCGGTTTTGTAAACTGTCAAGTGAATACGTTCACCAATAATTGTTCGGCAAAATGTGATATGTTTCTCAAGGTCATCAAGTTATGAAATTCAAAGTCGAATGTTGTCAAAACAAATTTAAGGAAGATGGAAGAAAAGTTCACAAAATTAATTTTCAGTTAAGTTCCACTCACCTTGTATATATGGGAAGTAAACATGTGATTGCCAGTCGCTAACTGGGCCAATGCTGACAACAACAGCAGAATACCTGCAGGTATCATTCTGAAATAGAATAACTATTGCTGAATGAAAATTTCAAGATAGAAATTGAGAATTCAGGACAAACGTGCCCTATCTCTATCGATCTCAATTATTTTATCTCAATCTCAACTTTCAGTGATACTCGAAGATAATATCAACTCCTTCATATTTCATATCAGGAAACTATTTAATTTTTTTCAGAAAAAAAACACTTCTTCATATATTAAGGAACAAGTTTATGAGAGGATGGGGCTCAGAGAGGAAAAATGTCTGAAATTTAGGTTATACATCCCATTCTGACTTCATTCATAATATAAATATTTCCATTCATATAAGTTCAATCACTTACAAAAACATCAGATTATATATGTTGAAAAAGTATTCACAATAAGCAGACAGCAAACTAATATATTCGTATATACTTTTGATGCACTGTTTGGAACCTTTGGCGTAGTAATGATATTACTGGAGTTTTATTTCAACTTCAAACCGTTATTTTCAACACTTCGACACGTGTTTCAATCACCAAGTGATCATCTTCAAGACGGGATTAAACTGGCACTTGATCACTGCCGGCAGCAACCTAATATTATATACATTTCTTTGGCATAATTCGAAATAAGCTGTTTTCTTTCTTTGATATCTTTTCTGTTTGGAAGTGTGAATAATTTTCTCAGGAGCATTTCAAACAAAAAATGTTGAATATCTAAAATTTCAGGATTATAAAAGTCAATTCCATGATGATTTTCTTTTGCATTTTTAATAAGGGTTATTGAACTGATAAAATTTGGTTTTCTGTCCTCCTGATCCACATTTCATTCAGAACAATTCTCACAATCGGCTTCGTGAAACACATTGAACTGTAAATGCAGGGCGATTTTAGTTTTTTGTGGATAAGAATCCACCCTGTGAGATAGTATCGTGTATTGTCCTCCCTTTATATAAATTTGAATGGATATATTTCAAAAAGAGATAAGTTTTTTGGGAGAAACCTTTTTGGATTTCTACTTCCACATCTTTATATGAAAAACTATGGGGAACTTTCAATGTATGAAAGGAAGCAATTGTGTTCAATATGAACTTTTCACGAAAATGTGTAGATCATGTGAAGAAGTTACTTTCAGATACAAACTGAAAGAAAAAGCCATCCCGAAACAATAACTTTCATATGAACATCGAATTACATGTACTATCGAAACAACTGCTCCCATATGAACATTCCATTTTATGAAAATCACTTTTTCCTATTCATTTCAAACACTAAACATTCGTTATGGGATCGAATCAGATATCATTCACAGGATTCCAAAATTTTATTGCAAATTATTTGACATTCACAATTATCTGTTAACTCCAAACGATTTTAACAGATGGCGATATCTGTTGACTGGATTGAGCAAGTAATCAATAGATGGCGCTGCTATGTTGAACCTACAAACGTGTCATACAAGCTACAATTCAATAGCATAACCACCACGTGTTGTTGAGGCTAAAGTATGAGTTATATTAGTTTTGTAGTAAACAAAATAGCGTAAAATTCAATTGTTTTTACTTTTCAACAATTACTAGATATCGGGAACGGTAAAATAGAACTGCAACCAAATACGCAATGCATCAAACTGACAGACAATTTCTCACTGTTCTTCAGGAAAAAAATGAATTGATTCAGAGTATTTTTCCGGATATACACAGTAATCACTTGAATCATAACTGACTCAGTCATCGTGCGATTTTGGTAGCCAAAAATGTTGATGTTGACGAAATTAACTTCGAAATACAACAGTTGTTACCAGACGATTTGATGTCTTTTAAATCAATCGATACTGTTGTGGTCCTGTCGCCACGTATTCTAATGATACCGTCAGATCCTACCATACCCTTCAGAAGGCTACAGTTTCCAATTCGTTTAGCTGTTGCCATGTCTATAAATAAGTCTCAAGGCCAAACAATGTCCATTTGTGGTTTAGATTTGGAAAATCCAGGTTTTTCTCATGGGCAACTATGTGTTGCATGTTCACGTGTTGTGAAACCGTCGAATCTATTTGTGTTAGCTAAAGACAGGTTAACCAAAAATATTGTGCACCTATTAGTGCTAAATTAAATAAAAATTATAATAACTTGATTCAGGTACTTGATTGAGTACTTGTTTGAGTACCTGAACTTACAGTTTACAATGCGGATGTGCCAATTTAAAAACCGGAGAGTAAATTAAATCGATATGATCATTTAACAGGTTGCACCCGCAATGTTTATGCTTGTGAATTTCCAAAGATTCTAAATAATTGAGTTTGCAACCCTTCCTTGCATAGTGCAGAATTTCCGTATCGTTTAGATTCGGAAACTTGTGGTTGCATGCCAAGGAATGGTTTGAAAAGATCGAATAATTTTTTCCTAGTCTGAAGGACCTTTCATGTTCAGCATGTCCCATTGTCCCACATAAACACTATTACACTCCGGACACTTGAGCTCATAAACTCTAGATTTTTCCAACTTGTCGACCTTATCTTTGGCATTGAAAAGGAAATGAGATAACCTGGCATGTGGTCTGAATGCTACTTCCACATAGTTTTTTCTGAAGAAACCTGCGATTCAGAAAAACAGTACGAAGCACGAAAGGGGCGACCACCAACCATTTATACAGATAATGGCAGAAATTGTGTAGGCACTGAAAATTATTTGGGACAATTGGATTGGAATGAGATATCAGAAAGTAGTGCCGTACAAAGAATTAAATTGAAAGTCAATCCACCAGCGGCAGCATGTCATTAGCGCCTCATTAGAATTGTGAAGGAGTTATTAAGACAATTGGTAAAGGCAAGTTTGACTCATGAAGAACTTTTTTCAGTTGTATGCGAGTGTGAATCAGTGATAAACACAAGACTTTTGACTTACCTTTCAGAGAATAATGATGATCTGGTGCCATTAACACTGTCGATATTCGTGCAGGAAATCAAAGAAACAAATTCAAGAAGTGAAAGTAGGGGATTTAGTTCTCATTGAAAATAAAGATTTAAAGGGACTCAATTGGCCTTTGGATATTATTGAAGAGTTATTAGTAGGGAATGATGGCAAGATTAGACTAGTAAGATTGATAATGGACAGTTGATGCGACCATTTCAACGATTGTATCCTTTAGAGTTGGATATTCAAGAAGATGAGCTTTTGAAACTTAAATTCAGAAGTGACAGAAAAGAAGGGGATAGAGAAAAGAAAGTTCAGAGGAAAGTTGCACCTACAGAAACCCAAACAACATCTGATAAAATAGTTCATCCTCCCAACAGACTGACCTATTGATATTTTCAAATTCCAGTTTCGAGTCTTGATCCATTTTTACTCAAAAGGTGGGAGTGTATTGAAAATCGTCGAGGAGCACCCACTGTTGGCTGTTTTGTGTTTTGATTAATGAAAAATAAATGAAATGATTTGTCAGATTTTAAAATAAGAATTATCAGATTCAATCTTTTTCAGATTTTCTGCATTTCCGAAAAGTTATTAAGAGTCTTTATAAACAGTTTATTCCATTTGTATCCTTTTCGATACACCGGTTATGTGCTGTTTTACGAATTTTTATAATAACGATATTGAATTTCACTCACTTGGAATTTCCCAGATTTTTTTTTCGTAAAACTATATAGTTTCAATTTCCCAAAAATTCATTCAAATACTATTTAAACGGTCTGATTGATTTTTTGTGGTAATTTCCATATTCTCATCATCATTACACTTCCAAAACGAATGAAATTTGACGATGAATATAAAGCAGAAAATGTACAAGTTCATACTTTCAAATATTACTGTACTTACCTGATAATGTCTTCAATAGAATGGTGATAATTGCGTTTTCCATAGCTATTTATTTACAATTTTTATCTTTTTGGCGTGCCTACATTTGAAAACATTTCATTACTATCATGAAATAGCTTTATTCCGACAAGTTTAGTTATATTGGATATTCAAATACCTCTGTACTCGATAATATGTAATACTTAGAACGGAGTAAAAACCAGAAAAAACAACAAAATATCAACATTTCTGTATGGTTTATCCATTAGTTGTAGATATGTTGAATTTTTAACTGAAATAAACCTCACAGGAATTAGTACTGATATTGTTTGAATTTGTACGGTCAAGATCAAGGTGAAATTTTTTGAATTTCAGGCCAAACCATTTCGAATCAATAAAAAGTAGCAAGTACCTCCTATTTAGTATTTACCCAATAATTTCAAATCAGGGTGAGTAAAGTAAAATTATCCATTGATAAAAATGATGCATACCTGAACATTAGTATGTTTTGAATTTTTTTTCCACAGACCGGAAATGAGAAAAATGTTTCGACCCAATCTTTCCAGCCATGTAGGAAATATCGGAAAGTAACTAGGAAATGACTTTGCTGAAAATATAGTATGAAAGTAATGGTGGTGAAGAAAACACACTCTATGGAACGATAAGACTAACGTGAACCAATGAAAATCTCTTCAGATAAAATAGTGCAGTTCAACTGGAGATAAAGTTGCAGTTTCCATTAATTAATATATAAACATGTGGACTGTTGAAAAAATTAGGTGAATTTTAATTTTCCTGGAGAAATATTCATTTATTCATCAATCTCTGATTTATCACCTTCATAGTAGTCCCCCTCAGATACAATACACTTATACTAGCGTTTTTACCAATCCTCGAAACAGTTTTGGTATGTCCTTGAACTTTCTCAATCGTCACAAAACGCCGTCTTTCCATTGGTGTCTTCAATCTTGGGGAAAGAAAAAAGTCGTAGGGTGCCAAATCTGGTGAATACAGTGGCTGAGGCATGATTACGTTGTTGTTTTCAGCCTTGAAATTACGAACAAACAATGACGACTGAGCAGGTGCATTATACGTACGATCATGTGGCAAAAATTCCTAATGCACTACGCCTCGATAATCGAAGAAAAAAGTGAGCAAATCTCGACATCTGATCAAACTTGGCGGGCTATTTCTGGTCTTGGCTCTCCTGGGCTCTTCCATTTGGACGATAGGACTTTGGTTTCGATGTCATAACTATGTATCCATGATTCGTCACCAGTTATGAGAAGCAAATCGGAATCTCCGTTGACGTCAATCAACAATTCCTGAGCGATGCTCATGCGACGGTTTTTTGATCAAAAATTAGCAATTTTGGAACGAACTTCGCTTCATACCTAAAATTTCTGATAAAATTGCGTGGCATGAACCAACCGATATGTTGACATCCTCAGCAACTCCAGTAATAGTGATTCGATGACTTTCTATAACAATTTATTTAGATTTCTCAACATTTTTATCGGTTGTTAATGTGCTGGGGCATCCAACTCGACCTTCTGTGAAAAGCTTGTAAACATTTTTTCTATTCAGAGTACAATCACCGTAAACCACTGTCAACATTTCAAGTGTTTCACAAAATTGTATGCAAATTCATTGATTCATTTTTGTCGATACCAGAAAACCGCCGAACACGCAAAATACTTCCAACTTTTATACCTCTCACCAACAAACTGAACATGCTAAACGGCTGAAACTGTAAACATATGTTCGAGACAAATGTGCCAACATAAAAAAATTAAAAAATCGCTAATCAAAGGTACATAGCACGCGAAATTTGAACAAATTCAAACAGACCTTGTGTCGTTCGACCAATTAACAATTAAAACTGATACTCCTTTCCACATCTTTCCTGAAAAAAAAAATAAAATACCTAGGAATAATTCTAACATCAATTTGAAATGGGACCTCCATATTAAATATACTTACCGTCAATAAATTGAGGACCATTCTATTCAAATTTAGGAAACTTAAAGAACTCCTAACTCTAAAATATCTCAAAACTTTATACTACTCGCTTGTGGAAAGTCATATCCGCTATGCAATACTATGCATTGAAATTATGCAAAGGAGTTTTCTTAAATTAATATTCTCTAAAAATGGAAGGTATCCCTCTGATAAATTATACATCGAAACTCGTCTGTTAGACATACGACAGTTGTATTTTTTATGCTCCAGCATTAAATATCATACAAATAGACATACGGCATCGCTTCCTTCACATCAGTATCACATCCGCCAAAGAGATCAGTATACTACACCCCTAATTGTCAGGGTCGTTACACAAAGATCATTTACTTACTTTGCGCCTAAACTCTACAACCGAATTCTATATTGTCCACTTACAATTCTGTAATTCATATGTTCTCAGATATGTATGTATATATGTGTATATATGGGCACTATCGTTTTGTAAATATATATCAAATCCATTTTCATCAACATGTTTTTATATATTATTACTAGTATGCGTATTTTACAATTGTGATTTTATACTTAACTGTCAATTCACTTTCATGTTTGTATGATTTTAGAACGACCTATTTCCGTTTTTATATTTGGAATTTGAACAATCAATAATTTATCCATTAATTTAATGTCTTCTATTAATAAATAGCACAGTTCTTCACGCCGACAGGCTCCATATATTCCGAAAATAGTATCAACTTTTATCATCAATAATTTTTCATCTGATGCCTCATTAATGAACCTCTGGACTTATTCGAACGTAAGAGTTTTTGATTTTTTGGGCCTATATCTTTCATTTTTCCGCTTTAAGAATGCTATTACCTTGAAATATTTGCTTGTAATGAGTGGCAACACTGTTTTTGACAATGCATCGTGCACTTCTTCCAATTTATTGGCAGTTTCGTCGGCCTACTGAGTGAGCTATTCGGAAGCTTGTGACTAAATTTCGAACCCAGTTTATATTATTGGACATTGAACCACCAACATGGATACGTAGAGTGAGGACCGAAGAAAATATTGCGACTGTATCCACCAGTGTTCGTGATGACCGTGAAATGTCGATTCGCCGCTGTTCGCCGCAACTGGGCCTCTGTTACTCCACTACGTGGGAAATTTTGCGAAAGGATATGGGTGTAAAACCTCATAATATGCAGCTGGTGCAAGAATTGAAGCCACACGACCTTCCACGCCCCGCAAAGTTGGAGGAAGATCCACATCCACGAAAATTGTGTTCAGTGACGAGGGGCAATTTTGTCTGTGAACATTGCCGTTTAAAAAAATGTGCATTCGTCACTTAAACAAATATTGTGGAGATAGGTAGGATGCCTTGCAATGGTTTTTGTCATGATTTCGCAGAATTCTGTTCTTCGAACAGGTTCATCGTCAGTTGATTGGTGTACCATTTTAATTTTGTATGGATGACACCTATTCCTCTTCAAAAGTCTCCACACAGTAGAAGGAGACACCTCACAAACATTCGCGACGGAATAAGTAGACTGTTCAGGATTTACTACCATCTCACCAATTATTTGCACTTCCTGTTTTTACGGAATGGAGGGATGACCTGGCGGCTTTTTGTTATGTACACTACCGGTAGTTGTGAATTTGGATACAAGTTCCCTCAAATATTTTCTACAGATGGGACGATTCAAAAAACGTTCATTGAAAATCCTTTCGGTCTCGTGAAAGTTACGTGTCGCACCGTAAATAAAAATCGCTTCAATTTTTTCTTCCAATGAACGAGAATTGACCATTTTAGAGATTGTTGACGTGGTACCTTTCTACTAGTAAAACCGAAAACTAAATGAGAATAATCTAACTAAACAATGATGTTCATTGTCGTACTGATATTTTTTGTTGTTTATATAAACAAAAAATAACTTAGCAAACCTTATCGGGTTGTTGGAATTGCCATATGGCAGATAAAAAGGAATATTTCTAGAAATATCGATAATAATGTGTTTGTCTTCAGGAAATTATTAAATGTTCCTCCATTTTCTAGTAGATGAAGATATTCTAGAGTTGTGAAGTATTCGTCAGGAGCTGCAAAATAATGAAAGTTTCATCTAATAATATCACTTCAAAATAAAATATTCATGCATGTGATTCATATATGGCTTCCCACGTCGGCCATAGAATTACTCACTACGAAGTTGTCTTACTTTTTACTAAAGCGTTCGATCGAATAAGCAATATTGGGAAAGCAGCAAATAGATTCCGAGCGGCTGGTAATTGGCCATTAGATGTAACAAAATTTGATGAACAGTTCCTGGAAGCGACATCGTCTGACATTCAATCAATACCCTTCAATAATGAACCCACTGAAGCGGCTCGAGCAGCACAAACATCAAAGGGGAAAGGAGTTGCGATGCCGATATTGTCTGATACTTAAACAGTACCCTCGCCCAATGTTCGAACAATAGATGCTCAGGAAGCTCAGGAGAAAGGAACCATAACACCTAAGGCTCAAATAGCTAATTTGAAAAAATCAATTCTACTCACGAAAATTGTTAATGTTCCTCAAATATCACAACCCAAAACAAGGCAAACTTCTAGGAACAGGCATTCAATTATTATAACGAGCACTCCCATGAAAGATGCTTTAGAGGAAAAAGAACAGAAAAGAAAGAAGAAAGAACAGATTTAATTTGAAGAAAATGTTGATACAAATAAAGAAGAAAAATCAAGAAGAGTTTTACTATCTGATTTGTGATGAAAAATATGAGGAACCAAGGACCTGAGCTTGGATAATGTATTACAAATGTAAACTATGGGCCCATGAGAAGTGCATCAGTGGAGAAAGCATCTCCAAGGGATACTTATGCGAATTATGTGTCTGTGATTACCCCACTCGGTATCCGCCATTACCCCCTACAGTGTGGGGTAATACCGAACACCAGACGTTTTGTTTTTTATTATAACATGTTCATTTAAAATTATATCACTGTTAAAGATAAGGTGTTCACAATTACCTCACCCATCCCTAATTTTATTGTGTGGGATAACTCGTGATAGAAGAATACCTATATAAAAAAATTGCAAGATGAACATGAATTCTGTGTATATTATGAGATTTTTCTTTATTTTTTGAACGTGGTTGACAATGTTTCATAGTGAATTTCATTAGTCCGGACTTGTATTGTCTAATATGATATAAAATGATTTGAAATCAATAAAAGAATCCATAGAATTAAAATTGATAGCTGAAAATCACAATTATATCAAACAAAAAAACCTAAAATGAAATCACAATAAAGTAAAATACAAGCAAAAATTGAAAATTGAACAATTAAAAAAAGAAATAAAAATTCAAAGATTTCAAGCCAAGTTACTTCACGACGTTTCGTTTGTTGGTATCTACAATCGTCTACGTGTAGGGTGATAATAGTCATCACCCGTGGACCGTGGAGTGAGTGAAATTATGGTGTTTAGTTACAACACTAAAAAATCAGTTGCTTCCTTTATTAATTGTAGATTCTTTTACGTAACTGTAAAAGTTAGCGATTCACAATGACTCGTGGGAAATATTGTTTCGCCTTCAAAATGAATAACTATAATCCTGTGATTTTTTTTATCAGAGAAAGATTTTGATTGATTGGTTTGAAAGATGTGAAATAATTTTATTTTTACATTTATCAATTAGTAAATCTTCCTGCGAATAAAATTACTCCAGAATCAGTTTCTCGGATGTAGTACATAAATGGGTGATCTGCTTTAAAAGTAAATATCGGCCGTGATGGATTGAAAACTGCTGTTAGTCCTCCAATAACTGAAAAAAAAATGGTATTAGAAATATTATACATACCCAAATTTATTATTGCTGAAAAATATTGAATTTTCAAATTGAATATTAATGAATATTGTGAACTATAAACAGGGGGCAAAATAAGTGATAACCTCAAACGAAGATAAATGAAGAGGTAATTAATTTTTTATTTTTCACTCATAAATTTAATAATTGTTAACATGATACTCACTATCAAGGAATTCTATCGATGTTTCAAAATTTGTAATGAGAATTTCAGTAACGTTATAAGTAGAGGCTTACCTGAATTATATTCATGACATGGCATGACATGGCAGAAAATGTTACACATTGACAGAATGGTGCCGGATACAGCCTCGATACTGCCTGGATAGGATACGAATGCTAGTGTCTGCTAAGAAGTCACTAGTGATGCGAGCGAGAAGTATCGCGGAAACCATTAGGCTCCGCGAGAAACCTTCTTGTTCAGCCTTCACGTGTTGTGAATAACCCGCCGACCGCTGATCAGGGGGAATACTTCTGGAAGGATATCTATGAACACCCGCAGCCATTCAACTTAGCCACTCCAGCCCTAGCGCAGTTCGAAGCTTTCAACAGAGATCTTCGACAGCCTGAGCTCAATGAACCCGATAACCCCGGATGACGTTTGAAAAGCCCTTGTGGGTTCCAAGAACTTTGCTGCTTCAGGCCCAGATGGGCTGAACACTTATTGGTGGAAAAAACTACCAAGCACCCACNTGAAAACATTGACGTTATCTTCCAATCTTATACAGGCATGCAGATGATTTAGAAATTGAATTCCTCTGTGTATTGGCCTTCTCTCATACAGTTTCATGTTTAGGAGGCCTAATAAGTTTCGAGGATCGAATTGGGTAGTCGTGATAATCAGAGTTGAGAGAAATGTTATGATAATTACTTTTTGCATATAGAATGCATTTGAAGATGTAAATAGAGTAAAATGTAAGAATTCCATGTTCTTTGAAATGATTGCGACATGTTTCTCAATAGTCTAGGCCGAACATTAATCGTATAATCCTCTTTTGTGAGACGAAGACTCTGGATGCTCCCACTGTACCACGCCATAGAATAATATTATAAGAAATGTGGGAATAAACAACAGCATAGTAAATGCTGATCAACTGACTCGTCACAAAAATATTTTTCGGTTGCAATATAGCAAAGTAACTACTATTCAATTTCTTGCAGATGTGATTGACATTGCTATTCCATCCCATATTATTGTCCACAAATACTCCAAGAAATTTGGTGGATTTCGCAAAAGGGACTTCACTATCATTTACTGAGATTCTCTTGTTCTCAGGTATTTCATTTCTGGTGGAAAAGTGCATACAAACTGTTTTAGCAGAATTTACTATTAGAGAATTTCTTCCACACCACGTGGTAAATTCTTTTGCCAGTATATTCATTTTTGCAATGAGCTCTTCAGACGTTTCTGTTTCCATTACGAAAGTGGTATCATCAGCATATAGAATTAGGTTTTTAGTGCTGACGTATCTGGGAAGATCATTTAAATATAGTAGAGAAATTAGCGGACCAAGAATCGATTCTTGAGGTACACCAGCCACCACATCATGTGGGAGAGATCTCTGATTGTCAATTCGTACAATAATTTTTCTGACCTCCAGATATGAAGCCAGTCACGAAAGAAATTTGCCATGGAAACCCAATTCACTTAGTTTACCAATGATTCATCACATTTTAGCAACTTCCTGAAATTCTTAAACATCACAGGCAACCTTGACAATCTGAAACATCAAAGTATTGGAAAATTGTCTCTTTTGAAAAAATTTCCAAAAGAAGTGTTCAATTGCCTCATCCCGCATGATTCCACCCAGAGAGATATACGTCAGATGTACTTGGCATAAAACAGCTGCCAGAACTTCGATGTCCAAGGACTCTTTCATTTGGAGAAAGGTGTCCTTGTGGAATAAGAGCCCAGACATCAGTTTTCCAAAAAAATTCTTAGCTATAGCTATTCAAATCTCACAATGATTGCGCACAGGCTCCGCTTGCATGTCATTTTGAGATGCTTGTGCATCTTCATAAAAAAATATGACTTACCTGCAGTGGCGGCTGCTGCTTCTGTACCACTCTCAGTAACATTTATGAACGCTTTCTGAACTATGGTGTCAACAAGCAATCTTTCCCCTTTGGAGATGCCTGACAGGTTTGCTGTACTTTCGAAAAGGTCATGAACACCCAACTGAAAATTAATTACTTTAGCCATACATAATCAGACAATAGGGCGGTAGGCGAAATAAAGCAACACTTTATTTCTGAAAAATATTGAATTGAATAGTGTATGATGAAGACTAGAGTAACTATTTTAGTGAAAAAAAGTTTTGGTTTTCTACTTCTCCATTTCTATACAAAAAAAGTGGAAATATTTCAAAGAACGGAAGAAAGCAATCATTTTGAAAATGAGCACTTTACGAAAGCGAAAAAGTCGCTTTAAGACACAAAATGGAAGAAAAAGCCTTCTAGAAACAACAACGTTCATATAAGCATTAAATAACATGAAATAAAAAATACCTCCGAAACCACTACTCCTTGATGAATATTGAATTATACATTATACAAAAAACACTTTCACTATTCAGTATGTATGAATATTTGTTATGGACTCGAATCAGATATCATTCACAGGATTGTTACTCAATATTGTATGTTTGTTTGAAGGTGATTGACAATGTTTCAACAATCGTCTTCGGGTGATGACTGGACTGATTCGTCCGAGAGATGACTACTTATAGGTCATTCGAGTTCTTTCACTTTCTCAGCTTTCCTTTTTCCACTTCACTGGATTAGTGGGAGATAACTGTTTGGCGGGAGTTGGCCATTTTTCGCTTGATGATGGGTTTCCATATGTTGCGTATCTCTAAGCTAGCTTAGCTGAATACGTTGTTGGATAACATGTATTCGGCTCCTTTGAATTTTCTCCTAAACCAATGTTCCTCTCTGTGAATGATCTCAGCTTGGCACCACTCGATGTTATGTTGATGGGTCCAAACATGCTCTGCTATTCCTGATTTGCGGGTTTCTCCTCGCTGTGTGTGTTTCTTGTACTCGGCAATGCGAACATTCAATGGTCTCTTAGTTTTATCGATATAGGATTTTTCGCACTCACAGGGTATCCGGTGGTGGCCTGTTTTTTGTGAGTCCTTCAATGTAGGGAAGTGCAAGCACTGGTTGTGACGGCTCCTCTTCCTTGCTACCTTTTAGCCAAAGTCTGTTCTATCATCGCTTTGGACTAGCCATTCTGTTGAAGATCAATTTTGATGATGTCCAGTTCTTTCGAGACACCTTCCTTCGTATTACAGAGCCCGAAAGCACGGTCTAATAGTCTTGATGATTCCACTTACATGAAACACTGTCATCACCAATGGTGGATATTCGATGTTTCGCAATAAGACAATCACCTTATTGCCTCTTCTACACCAATCTTAATAATATTACAGGAGGAAGCACTCAATTCTTTCGTGAATTGTGTGCTTCATCAGTTCTTCAATTCATGAATGAATTGAGTGCGTGATCTTGTAATGCTATTCAGATTCTTGCTGAAGTGGCAATGTGGCAAGTGTCTTATTCCGAGACATCGATGTCCGCCACTGATGATGACATCCATGGAAGTGAAGTTCAACCTCTTTCATATACTTTATTGTATAGCAATTCTGTGAATGATACCTGATTCATTTCCATTACGAATATCTGCAGTAGAAACTGGATAGGAAAAACATTTTTTGGTATAATTAAAATTGATAATCCCAGTCAAGCATTAAAATATAGTTCTGATATTGATTCATTTCTATTGTACTGACACTTATTTTAATGACATAAATGTGAGCGAAGCCGCGGGTAAAAGCTAGTAAAACATATATTTAAGTGAGTTTTTAGATCAGATCCTGCTGGAAATTAATAATCTGGTGAAAAATCAGTTTGCATTTAGTGTCATAAAATTACTGCATCTAGAATGTAAGAAAATCAAACATTAATGAATAGTCAATAAAATCAAATAACGTTCAAGTTATCAAATACTAGTGAGTGAATACTAAAAAAGAATATCCAAAATGAAAATATTTCAAACGTGTTTCATGTGGATTTCTAATCAAAATAAAAAATCATACTTGAACGAATAAAATTATTCAAACGCTATAATTACCTCGATCAGCAACTTTTTGAAATCAATACTTGTAGTGATTGTGAATTTGGGTAAAGCAATATCCACCTTTTCCGAAATCAAATCCTGTTGCCTCAGATAATCTTTTGGATTCCTCTCAATTTCTGCTAAGCCATCTATTGCATCTGGTAAAATGAATGTCATTGTGATGTTGCTATCGCGATAACTCATTTCCAAAAATTTTGCTCTGAGCAGCACTGAGTGCAAAAATTTGCATTGCGTGCCAGAGGAGCTTGAGTGCATCATATCAACTATTTTACTTGAATTTGATGTAATATGGAATGTTTCTTTACGTGTGTTCCTCGAACTGAACGGATGGGACCATTTGGCACTGAGATAGAGTGCATTCACCAGTACTATTCTAGTGCTCGAAGAAATTGATTTAGGATCGATCAAATTTTGTATTCGATTATTGGTAGACTCTGCAACCCAGTTGTTTATTAAGTCTGTAGCATATTGACTATTAGAAAAATCAACATTCACAACATCTGATTTGTAGACATCTTCTGCTAAATTTTTGAAAGACGTTTCGATTTTGAAGTGTTCTCCAATGAAAATTCTGTTTGCTGATAATAATGTCAGTGATTCTGAAGAAACATTCAGTCGCAATTGACTAACAGCGGCTTCTGTTATTTTTTTTCCAGGAAGGTATAAAGCTCTGACCAGCTCCTTTTCAGTTTTTCCCTTTGTCCCTTCTGATGTCAACCCTAATATTATTTCGGCCGAGAGAGGGCTAAATACTAGGTTGTCAATGGATTTTATCAACACCTGCAATCAGAAAAGTCCAATAAGTAAAGATCGTAATGGATTAAGCTCTCGTTGAATCACCGAATCAATATCATTATTTCAAAAACTCTACATGTTTGAAATGGTGTAAAGTGGAATAGTATAGAAAATTCAATAATGTGATATTCATTTTTGGGAAAGAAGGTTTTAACTTTCTACTCCCCCATCTTTATATTCATTGTTCTGGAACGTTCTACAATGACCTGGAAAGTTAAAGTTACTTCTTAGCATGATCTACACATCTTTGTAAAAAGTATACTTCGAAATGAATTGCAGCGGTGAATTGGCGTAATGGTAGTGGGCCCGACTCACGACCTTCCGGTCGTGAGTTCGATCCTAACCTCGATCAGATACCAAACACCAAAAAAATTGTTGTGAACACACTTTCGTTTGAGTGGATTTTATTGTAGATAATTATTATTAGTTATCAACTGGGGTACCCGCCTTTGCTCAGGGAGTTGATGTGAAATCGTGTAATAATTGGATTGAAAGAATACCTCTAAACTATTTGATTGAACACACTGAGACTCAACAAAAATAAAGTCTGATCACTACTGAAGACAAATACATATTGATAAACATGAAATTTAAAACTGAATTTCCCTAAGTTACCGCTATTCCTCCATTATTCATTAATTATATTCTCTAATAAATCCCATTGTTTTCAGATAAACGATTGAAATATTTGGAAATAGTGATATAAAATGAAAAAAAATCTTTCCCATTTACTTTCAATGGAAAAAGTACTGAGCTATATAAACAAAAAATTCTCGTGGATTAGTGCAATACTTTTTCCAACTACTGTGCTGTATTTTTTCTTACTTCAATGGTGAAAATACTATACCTCGTAAATGTCACCGGAGAACTCGTGATTTCCCAGAGAAAATTCTTGAAGAGCCTGATGTATTGTCAATGATCTCGCTTTGGATGTGAAGAAAAAGACAAACAGATAAAACCATATCATTTTATCACTTTTTTGTAAGACCGACAATGTCAATGTCATTCGCACCTGAGAATATATGATATATCTATTTCATAGTAACAGCTATTTTACTTTAAATATTTTCTTTCATATAGATAAAAAGTTCATTTTGAAAAATTAACATATATATTACCATAAACGTATTGTTGGTAAGCTTAGTGAAACCCATATAATCTACCTAGACTACACAGTTGACTGAATCAGAACTGATTAGGTACTATCCGAACATTTTGAATAAAAAATATGGAATAAAAAACGAAAAAAATTCATGTCTACACCATGTTACATACGTCACCACTTTTTACTATATTCACTCGTATATTATACATAAGCTTCGAAATGGACATCATCTGAAAAATATACTCCATTGCAACCTACATATTGGAAAGTAAAGGCTTAATGATTTAAAACACTGATAACAGGTAAATGCAAAAAACTCTGGCCTTATGGACACCGGGAAAGGCATATACTCAAACTACAAGATTGTCCACAGCATGAAATATTATAAAGTAAAATTAAATAAGAAATGTGACTTGGTGAGTTATTGACAATTAATTTTTCTAATTTGTTCAAATGTTGGTTTCCAATATGGACTTATGTTATAGTAATATTTGTTCAATTTATATTACTATTATGAAAATGAAATTTTCATAAAATTCATAAAATTATATTATTATTATTATCAATGTTGCATCTCACTACTAGGGGCAATCGAAGTCACAAACGAAACCAACCAATCAGTTTCGACGTGGAAAGGCTTTACACCAACGTTCCTGTCGAAGAAGCACTTCAATTACAAGGATGCTGTGTACGAAACTGCTATTTCCAACTGAAGGACGAATTATTTACGCAAAATGAGGAATGTCAATGGGATCGCCAATTCCACCAGTTATAGCCAACAAATATATGGAGTAGTTTCCAATTCTGGCCATTGAAGAAGCACCGAGTCTGGTTGAGAAACCTCCATAATATGGAACCCTGGGAAAACAGAACTAGACACCTTCCCGAAATACATCAATAGCGCAAGATTTTCCATCACTTTCACAATGGAGAAGGGAGTCCTCAATGAATTACCAATTTTAGACGTATTGGTGAAGAGGACCGACACTGAGTGGAAAACATCTGTATACCGAAAACGCATTCACACGGGACAGTATCTGAACCACGATTCTAACCATCATCAATCAGTTAAAAAAGGTATCATCAAGGCTCTAGTAGACCGTGCAAAGGAAAGTTTCGAGAAGAAACTGGACATCATCAAAAATGATCTTCAACGGAACGGTTACTCCAAAGTGATGTTGGAACAGACATCCAAGCATAGCCCACTGACTAATAAGATAGATAATGAAAGTCAGAACTAATGAAATTTACCATGAACCATTGTCAACCACCTTCAAACAAAGGTAAGAGGGGATTTCATAAAGCTCAATTTCAATTATGGACTTGTATGATGGTTAAACAATCTGTTTTGGAATTTTTCCTTCCAGTCACACATTAAATATCTTCAACAAAGTTATCGATTCTCTGAGACGTTCTCTTGACCTTTCATGAAATGATAACCTACCCGCGTACGTCTTCTGATTCTTGATGATGAAATTTTGAACCAATTTATACCAAAACAGTGATTTATATTTCTTTAGAATTTTTTGCATCGGTAAAAATAATAATAAGGAATGGAAAATGCTGTTATCTATAAATAATATTGAACATATTAAAAATGTATTCGGAAGCATATAAAAGTAGTCATGTACAATTTTTTTTTATTTATTGGGAAATGTATACAAAAATATTTTCATATTTGGGAAATTTGAAAACTTCACTTAAAAAATTATGTTTTCATTAATTTATTTTAGAGTTTCATTAAACGTGTATATGTTTGTCAAAGGATTCGTAGTGTATACCTTGCTTTCATTGAAATATTTAGTTACAATCGTCCTTGAGTAACCACTTCAGAAGACTGAAGCCATCTCCTATTCTAAGTACATTTCATCATATAAAAAACTAAATGATTTCTGTTTTATAACAGTGAACAGTTTGAGAAGGGATTAAAATAAAAAGAATGGAAATTACTTTCAAATATATTAATATTTGCTGCACATTTTTATTTCCCCAATATTGATAATAACTCATTCAGTTGGTGAATTTTCCGACGAAAAGAATCAAGCCAGATTCATTGTCCCTAATGTAGTACAGGAATGGATGATCTGCTTTAAATACAATTGCTGGAGGTTCCGTTATAGCAGTGATTGACCCACCAACTGAAAAAAGATCAATATATAGTCAAAGTTATCGAAAATGTAGATGAAAAATGGAAATGAGAAGGACAATTTTATGCAGTGATTGATATATTGTTTTGTTTTCTGTGAAAGGCAAATAAATATAACAGACTTTTATTCAGATATTATTGGTAATACTATATCATTATTTCAAATTGAACGTCATTATTTCAACCTATAAATATCTTCCACTGTTGGCATCTTCAAAGAAGAGTGTAGTAGTTCGGGTGTTTGAGGACAGTGTTTGTTTTGAATTTATTCTACGCCAGATGTTCCAATTCTACTTTTCTGTAGTCTAATGTGTTCAAATCAGTTTACATTTTATTTTATACAATTCACCATTACTTTGTTGATTATAGCCAATGGAAACTTACTTTTGAGTTTTAGAGAAATAGTCTGACACCTAGTTTCAAAAATTATAAAATTTTTATTCAAAACGCATCGTTATAAATTCGCCTATATTAACATTACTCTTTTCATTCATTTCAAAGCAACTGACACATGAAATTCTAGATAAACATCATGGATATTTTCAATATCAACTACATTGACGATAGCAGACATAGAATTAATTAGAAATGCCATAGCGTAGACTCATACTGCTGAGAAATAATTCTTAGTTTGCAAGTAGCTCACTGTAAAAAAGCTCCTGAATCGACACAAATAGAAATAAATATAATCATATTATTTCATTTAGTAAATATTTTCCGTGGAGCATCTATGTGTTATGATGTTTTTCTCTAAGCATCCGTACTCTGTAGGGAGTAACTGTTCATAGTGATCTTTCCAGTTTGTTCTTTATTTTACCCGACAAACAATCAGACCATATTCCCAGACCGCACCCTGTGAAACTATTAGGAGTCATACAGATAGAAGAACCAATTATTATAACCAGCGATTTTAGCCAGTTTCAAAAGCATTATCTGTAAATTCATTATGAATAGATTTGGTGATTTAACATCATTCTCAATTTTGATAAATTCTTCAAAAAATGTCTCGACATGATTTTCCAAGAACAATCATCCCTGTGGAAAAAGTATGAAGTACTGGACATTCGGAGTTTTCGCTACATACTTCTATCACAAGTACACACGTAAATTTGTGTTTGATATTGCGTAGTGTCTGTATATACACTTCAATGCTTATTTATTTATTTTTACAATATGTTGTATCCAAACAGGTCAATCAGGTCTAATTACATGGATAAACTATATACAATATTCAACGTAACACAACGTAATGATATCAATATTATCATAACATGCATTAAATACAGTTTCAGCTTATATACAGGGTGTTTCAAATTCGATCCTCACCATTGGGATCTCGGAAACTATGACAGATACGAAGATGGTTAAATTGGGTCAAAGGTGTGCATTCACCTTACTAACAATATGCCGTTGAGAAAGTTCTGAAATTCTGAGTATATTCAGAGATATCCGGAAAAAATAGATATTTCAGAAAATTGACTTTAATTCTTTCTGGCTCTATTTTTTGAAGGATTCGAAAATCCACTTCCACATTGCCACTTTTTCCCTGCTACATAATGGTGTTTTCAGATTTGCTATCCGACGTTTCGTCTTCCGGCCACCATCATCAACTTTATTTTTTCTCATGAGCGCTACATTGGATTCTTTTTGTTTTGAATAGACCCAGATTTTCCCTTCCCAATGATGTATCATAAGTTATCATCATTTCGTATTAATTTTTATTGAAAAGCACACAATGTCTAACTCACCTCATATATACCTCATTTATCAAATTTTCTTTAGTTTCCTGGTCCATTCTGTCTCCGTATTTTTTCCTCGGCTTTTCAAATGAACCAAACTCAGTGAGATACAATAATTTGAACAAAGTTTGATGTGGTTGTCGTCTTTCGGGAAACAAGTTTAAATTCATTTCCGATGTCCTAACACTGTTTCTGTTGTATTTGTATATTTGTAATAAATTCGTATATCTCTTGTTTCTTCATTCGTGAAAGCCATTTTTCGCCAAAAATTCAATGACTCATACAATAACAAGTTTAACAAATTGAAAGTCAAATTTAGAAATATCAAAGTCAAAGCATATTATGATAAGAATAATTTTTTTTTTTAAATATATCCGATTTTTCGAAAAAGAATGATAACTTATGATACATCATTGAGAAGGTAAAATTTGGTTCTATTCAAAACAGAAACAATCCAATGTAGCGCCTATAAGAAAAAATAAAGATGATGATGATGCAGCACTTCTCTGAACTGAAGTAGAGTTTATTCGTGTTTATTCATGAATTTTGTTCATTTCTTTCTGCAATAACATACAATCTCTAATTTGTACCAGTTTGAATATCTTATCACTGCAAAAAGTGAACATTTCGAAAACTTCAACACAGACACAGATCATTAATGAATATAAATAAAAGAGTTCCTAGATTAGAGCCTTGTGGCAGTCCTGAACTAGCAAGAAATTCACCATCATATCTCACTGTGAGAAATCTATTTTACAAATAACTCTTAATCAAATCCAATAAATGTCTCTTTAATGCATATTCATTCAATTTTTGTAAAAGAGTATCATGATCTACCTTGTCCAACGCTTTACGAAATTCGGTGAAAATCGTATCAAGTTGTATTTTATATTCTAATGTGTCATGGGCAGTTCAACTGAAAATAAACAAATTACTATTTATTGATTTATTTGCTACGAAACCGCGCTGTTTAGGCATTGAAAATTTCTCCAGATTGTAATAAAGTTTTGTATAAACAATTTGTTCGAAAAATCTGTGTCTGCTTAGAATCAAGAAATGAACAATTCCAAAAAAACTTCATTTTCTTTCCCCATATCAGAAAGCCTTTCATATGGTAGTAGATTTCCAAAGTATCATCACACCTTCTGATCACACCTTATTATAAAATGCATGTTGACTGGATAGTTTTTCAAAAGCTTGAAATGAGAAATATATTTGTGTTATTATGACCGCAATTCTCGAACTGAAAGTTATAATTTCTAGTGTAAACCTTGCTTTTATTAAAATATTCAGTTACAATCGTCATCGAGCAGCAATTTGGAAGACTGAAGTCATCTCTTTTTGTAAGTATTAACAGTTTGATATATTTAAAGGAAATGAAATGGTTTCTCTTTCATAACCGTGAACAGTTTTAAAAGGGATTAACATAGAATAAATTGAAATTACTTTCAAAGATTTTGATATTCGGTGTAGATTTTTATTTCGTCAATATTGGTAACAATTCATTCAGTTGGTGAATTTTCCAACGAAAAGAATCAAGCCGGACTCATTGTCCCTAATGTAGTACAGGAATGGATGATCGGCTTTAAATACAATTGCTGGAGGTTCCGTTACTAGAATAGCGGTGGCTGATACACCAGCTGAAAAAAATATCAGTATGTAGTCAATGTTGTCGAAAATGTAGATGAAAAATGGAAATGAGAAGAAAAATTTCATTCAAATTTCTTGATGATTAGTGGTAACAAATGATTGATATATTGTTTTGTTTTCTGTAAAAGTCAAATGAATATAACTGAATTTTATTTAGATAGTTTTGGTAATACTACATAATTATATTGAATTAAACTCCTTTCATGGAGTGCATGCACTCCACTCCACGGAACCTTTGGTGTAGTAATGAATATTACTGGAGTAATATTCATTACTACTGTAATATTCTTTCAAAGTAGTTCCATGTTCAAAAAAACACTGTTCCAAAACATCAAAACTGTAACACTCTTCTTGACGTGCGTTTTGTCAAACAGAGAAGAGTGTAGTAGTTCTGGTGTTTCAAAACAGTGTTTGTTTTGGATTTGTTCCACACCAGAGGTTCCAATTCTACTTTTCTGTAGTCCAATGTGTTCAAATCAGTTCACAATTACTGAATAAAGCCAATGAAAACTTACTTTTGAGTTGAAAATTATGATATCTCTATGCAAAACGCATCGTTATACATTTGCCTGCATTAACATTACTCTATTTATATATTTCAAATCAACTGATACATATGAAATTCTAAATAAATATCATGCATATTTTCAGTATCAACTACAATGACGATAGCAGACACGGAATTGACAAGAAATACCATATCGTAGACTAACACTGCAGAGAAATAATTTCTAGTAGCTACCTATAAAAAGGCTCCTGAAGCGATACAAATGGAAAACATATTTTCTTTGAAAACATTTTCTGTGAAGCAACAATAATTCATGTTTTTCAACCATCCGAACTCTGTGTAGAGCAACTTTTCACAGTGATCTTTCCTGTTTCTTCGTCATTTTACTCAAAAACCATTGACACCTTATTCCCAAACGGTGCCCTGTAGTACTATTGGAACTCTTACAGTTACAAATTTCTTGATTTCTGATTTTTTGATCTAGGGGTATATCAATCTGTACGTAAATTTAAAACTTCGTTTTCTGACTAACTTATAGATGGTGTCTGTGTTGAAACCTTCATTATGTCTTATCTGTATAATTATTTATATTTTCCTATCTAGATTGTTAGCAGACAAAAGGTAAGGAGAATGCTCTGTGTAACATAGAATTGTAGGCTGCTAAGTTATGACTGTCGGAATGGAAAGAATCAATTGGGATTGCAATGTCTTTAGAGCTCGGATTTCTGAATACATTGAACTTAAATTTATTATGATTATGTGTGATGGTCAGGTCTAAGAAATCATTCTGTTTCTCTATTTCTGTTTCGAGCATGAAATTTTTGTTTCTAAGGTTATTCATAATTGTCATAAATTGGTTCAGCTGCCGTGTAATACCTCTAAAACAGCATCTATCTAATACTAGAGCTTGCTCTGAAATTCCTCAATGCTCTTTATAATATCTTTGAAATAAGTAAAGCAACTTAGCTCTTTTAAGCTGTTTCATTTTACAGCGGACAACTTGACGATAATACTGTTGCTAATATGGTATCATTTGGGACCTGGAAGAGAAGGGAAGTCCTGCTTGTGATATGTAGTCACCCCATCTGGAATGCATCTGGGCACTCACTTTCATAACTAACTTAGGAAAATTTATAGAAGATTTATGTAATATGATTTGAATGTAAGTGATGCCAACTAAATGTGGACCAATTAATTAGATTGAAAATATCAGTTTTGTTGTCTGTGTAAACCACCACTGAAAGTGGTAGTGGAAGTGTTCTCTATGAAATATAAATTAGCGTAGCTAGAGGGAATTAGTTTAAGTGCATCTCCTGAAGACGCCAACTTAGTTGGTGAAAGAAGAAGGATGTTGCAGTCCTAGTGTTTGTAAATAGTGCTTGTTTTGGATATTGGATGAAGTAAGAATGAATAAAATGGCTAAATCTAATCTTCTCTAATATTACTGCTCATTTAAGTATGAAGACAATTGATAGAAGAGTGAAATGAAAGTAGAGTAGGATGAAAGAAATAAAAAAATTGCCTATTTAGTAGGATTGAAAGGCAGTTGGTGGATATGTTGAAAATCTAAGCTGAATCCAGTATGAATACGACAATGTAATGAGTACCTGGTTTTCAAAATCAATTCAAAAATCCTGTGGAGATGAAAAAAAATGTTTAAAATCACTCATTAAATAACACAACCTCACCTGCTGTCGCTGCTGCAGCTTCCACTCCAGCTTCAGTTACGTTTATGAAGGTTTGCTGAGTGACGAAATCTACAGCTAATCTTCCTTGTGATACACTGTTTGAATCTGAAATACCTGTCAAATCTGATTGTTGACCATCGAATACTTTCTCAACTCCCAACTGAAAGAAGAAAAATAACTTGTACGTTCAAAACAGTTTTATCATCATTTTTGGTAAAAACTGTAAAGAATGTAGAGAGTGGAAACATGTTTTAAAATCAATATCAGAAAATGAATAATATCAATGAATTCGTCACTTCTTTCATCAGAAAGTGTACCATATGGCTAAAGATCCAGCATTTTTTTTGGTACTTCTGATGATTGAATAGTTTTTAATAAAGAAACTATCTGATTTCCTGTGGATGATCTCAGCTTCGAAACCAGCAAACCGAGAATAGCGTGCATGTTTGGATTCAACATTACATCAAGTGGTTCGAAGCTGAGCACATCTACAGGGAGGAACACTGGTTCGAAAAGAAATTTGAAGAAGCTGATATGTTGCTGCTACATCTTGATCAAAGACGCTTCTAGCCTGGCTTGTCTGGAGACACGCAACATATGGAAATCTCTAGTCAAGAGGGAAAGCAATATATGTTGCAATGAACTAGAAAGCGATAGAAGAAAAGGGAGAGGTGAAAGTGAATATGGCAAATTATCAAGAATTGGCCAGCAATCAACAGGTTTTATTAAACACAACCGAATATTTCGGTTCCATTATTTTTAGTTTTTTCATTTTTGTTTTATTCGTTCTTTCATAGATTTCAAATCTGTTAACATATGTTTCGACAATGACCGAACTTATGACATTCACCAAGCACTTTCAAAGAAAATCAATAACGGGATAGACAAAAATGGGCCATATAGAAAAAAATGTAGTTTTTGAATGCGGATCAGGAGTGACTTTATATTTTTATCAAGTATATCGATAATTGCCGTCATTAGCCTCAAGGTCTGAGTGAATTTATTTACTAGAATCTTATGCCACTACAAGAGAAGCAATAACTCCTTCAATGAAACCTAGTAAAAGTTTTTTGGAAATAAGTGTTTCTTGAGAGGTTAACTTTGATTTGGAAGTATAACTCAGGTTCTCTAGGTCGTGATTCGAATACGTTTTCTGCTTCGATGACTTTGTTGAAGGTTAAATAGGACACCAATACATCTTGACACAATCATGTCACTGGAATTACGAAGGCTGCTTCTCAAAAGCTCGGAACACTGTTCCGAACCGGAAAACTGTACACACCTCAGCAACTCTTCATGCTTTATAAAGCTCAGATCGGACCTTCTTTGGAGTATTGTTCCCATGTATGGAGCTCCGCTCCTAAGTATACCATGAAGTTGCTAGGTTCCACCCAGAATATCGAAGAAAAGTTGGAGATTTGTCTGTCTTTTATAGATACTTTCACGGGAAGTGTTCAAGTGACTTGGCACGTTTTATTCCACCAAGAGCTATACATATCAGAAATACGCGACGGACTGTGACTGTTCATCGTTTTGAGATTTCACTCAGTACACCTTGAACTTCACTGTTTAAGAACTCTTCCATATGAAATGAACTTCCTGAGAACATTTTTCCAATTGCATTTAAACTCCAGCGATTCAAATCCAATATGAATCGCTACTTCCGCACAGGCACCGCTCTTAGAGTGCCTCAAGGATTTCTTGTACCGGTATCCAGCTATCGCAACCCTACGAACGACAACCCTCAGAAGTCGTAACTAATGAGGTCTCACCTTTTAACGTGTGATTCCTAACACGGGTTGGACGATAGCAAGTGAAAATCTAACGTTCAGCCTGCGGCTTTAACCATCGACTCACACATCGGCCGATTGATTGAGTGAACATAGCACCCACGTCGAACCGCCCGGCTACCGACCGAATTGTGAATTGATAAAGTATGAAAATTGTATCTAGGAAATGTCTCAGTTCACCCTTGTTTTTTATTTCAAAACGATTCATCAATTTATGAACAATTTCATATAGATCATTAGTATTATATCATCTATATGAAGTAAAAAATATATTCTGCTGGAATTCATGATCATACAATACATGCAAAAATCGCTTTCAGAACGTTTAAAACCTATTTCCAACAAAAATTTATTAATCTCATTATTCCAGCACTTTGATGATTCTTTAAAACCATAGACCATGGATAGTTTTATCAATTTTCATCAACTAACGTGTCAGTGTATTCATAGCCTGAATCAATACTCACGTTTTTCAGGATAGGAATGAAATCAATTTGTGATCTGGTAGTAAATTTTGGTATAATAACCGCAACTTTTCTGGGATGATAACTATGTGGAACAAGAATATCCTTGATATGTGGTTCAAGAGATGTCAGACCGTCCTTATCATTTGATAACACTAAATGAATGCTGATATTGCTTTGCTTGAAAGGAATTTCTAAGAATTGGGCTTTGTAGTAGTTGCAACGTCTGTAATTGAAGGTTCCATCGGTGTGCATCAAATCTATTTCCTTCGATTTTGTTGATGATGTATAAAATATACCTTTCTTAGTGCGATGTTCTTCAAAACGGTGTAGCCATTTATCTTTGAAATACAAGGTGTTCACTAGAACAAGTTTTGTACCATCGTTGAGCTGATTGGGACTTATTAAATTAGTTATTTTATTGTTAGTCTGATTGGCAACCCAATTATTGATATTACGAGCAGTTCCTGTGTTATCACCGAAGTCAACATTTTCAGTGCCTGCTTCGTATGGATCTTCACTAATCTTTCTGAAACTATCGAGAATTTTGAATCCCTCCGCCGCGTAGATTCTGTTGGCAGTTTTCAAAGTTAGATGCTCGTTGCTCTGATCAAGTTTCGATATCAGATCCTTGTATGCGTTTATCGAATCATCTGTTTCTGATATGCCGTGCTGAAGTTCGGTTTTGGTTTCTCCTTTTGCGCCCTGACTCAGAAGGGACAATACGATCTTTGCCGATATACCACTAATGAGGAGATTTTCTTTCACACTTTCTGCTTGTTTCTGAAAAAAATACAATAAAAGATTGATGAGAAGAGGAAGAAGAAGAAACTATGAAAATGGAACAACTCCAATTTCTCATAGATAATGTCGATATGTTTGTTGGAGTAGGGGTGAGGAATATGAATTTTTTTCAGTCAACACTTTCTACTCATTCATTGATGAGCAGATGTCAACAAAAAACATATTATAGGTAATAGAAGTTTTCGTTAACTGAATTAGCATCATCAGTAGATGATAAAAACCAAATTTTACATCTATTTATATATCATCAGCTCAAATGAGTTTCACTGAATGCATTTATAATTTATAGTAAATATCATAATTTTCAATTTATATGTTCTTTACTAACTGTAGCTATATTTACCTGGTACTAATTTCGTAAGAGAGTGAACAACAGTCTTAGAAGACGATTGTGGATACTAACAATCGAAACGTCGTTAAGTAATTTGGCTTGGAATCTTTTTGCTTCCATTTTTTTGTCCAACTGTTCTATTTTTACTTGTATTTTATTTCACTATTATTTCATATCAGGTTTTTTGCTCAATATAATTGTTATTTTCAACTATTCATTTTTAATACGTTGGTAAGTTATGAGTTTTTGGCCGTAATGTCAGATAAAATACTCGCAAACTCTCTACTAAAGTCGGGGTGATCAAATTTTTACACTTCTTGAGTGTAGTTTTCATTTCTGAAACCATTTTAGGCAATGGGTTCTTTCATATTCTGTTATAAGGAATATTCTTTTTACCTATCAATTCTATCATGATAGCCAAATTCAACGACGTTAATAACGAGTTGTTTGGAATGGAATCTTCATCATTATTCGTAGATTTCATTCCACATTTTTTTATTTCATCACTTTCAAAGGCATCTGAAAGCCTGTTGTCGTATATCAGCCTGAATAAATCATTCTTCACTTACTTTGTGGATGTTGTGGCTAGGAATAAATATTTGGTTCCATGTCACTGGAATTCAGCTTTCCCAAATTTCGTTCAAAGTAATATCACTGAAATCACTTTTTGCAAAACGGAAATAGGTATATGTTTTGAAAATATTGGTTTAATAAACGGATGTTTGAATTAAAAGCATATCAACTTCACAAAAAAACTGACATTAAAGCTAGAAGAGACAGAACAGTGGAATAATGTTCAGGGACAGCTGATCAAAATTCAATAAGACATTGTCATTTTCAAATACTCACTAGACAGTTTACAAAACTTCAACTCGTGTTTCACTATACGTGTGTTCATTCTCGCCTGTTGAACCTACCCCCTAGCGAAACAGGTTTGACAGAAAGTGACATTTTATGAAACAGAGTTGTATTGTTGCAAAATCCAAAATGTTGGTATTTTAGAATGTAGGTTTTCATAAACTCACCTATTAATACGAAAAAGAATTCAATATCGGTTTGGTATCAAACAAAACACACCAGGAGTACTAGGGGTTTCACCTCGGAAAGAGAGGTAGTTATGAACTTCATTTTGACACCCTAAACTGAAAACCTACTTTTCTTTAGGTGTCCGCGACTACAAATATTCCAATGTCAAAAGTCAAAAAACGATTTTTAACACATTCACTGCAAATATCTCGTTTAGTATGGATTTTACGCTATGTGTATTCATTATGAATATTAAATTTTGTACAACTTTTGTAACATGTTTCATAATTAATAAACGGATGTTTGAATTAAAAGCATATCAACTTCACAAAAAAACTGACATTAAAGCTAGAAGAGACAGAACAGTGGAATAATGTTCAGGGTCAGCTGATCAAAATTCACTAAGACATTGTCATTTTCAAATACTCACTAGACAGTTTACAAAACTCCAACTCGTGTTTCGCTATACGTGTGTTCATTCTCGCCTGATGAACCTACCCACTAGTGAAACAAGTTTAACAGAAAGTGACATTTTATGAAACAGAGTTGTATTGCTGCAAAATCCAAAATGTTGGTATTTGAGAATGTAGGTTTTCATGAACTCACCTATTAATACGAAAAAGAATGCAATATTGGTTTGGTATCAAACAAAACACAGCAGGAGTATTAGGGGTTTCACCTCGGAATGAGATATAGTTATGAACTTCATTTTGACACCCTAAATTCAACTGAAAACCTACTTTCCTTTAGGTGTCCGCGACTACAAATATTCCAAGGTCAAAAGTAAAAAAATTGAGTTTTAACACATCCACTGCAAATATCTCGTTTACTCTGGATTTTACGCTATGTGTATTCATTATGAATATTAAATTTTGTACAACTTTTGTAACATGTTTTATATCATGAACCAGAGTTTAACTATTCAAAGCAGAAGTTCCCAAACTTTTTTTGTCATAGATCACTTTCAAAATTTTGCTGGTTCCGGTGGACTCCCTGCAGCTATATTTCTACCATATTCCCAAAAGTCGACAAAAATGTGAAGATTAGATCTAACTATGGAAATTCCAACCACGAATTAACATTTTTTGAATAAAAGGTGAGAATTGATTGGTTAAATAATTAATTGATTGTACTGTGAGTGGATGTCAAAAAAGTGAAGTTAGTCAATCAAACTTTACTTTTTTGATATCTACTCACAGCATGAGACACCAATCAATTCTCATTTGAATAAAAAAAAACTAGTATATTTTCTTGTGTTGTTCATTCAAATATATAATTATTACACTATTACTCAGTCGTAATGTAATCAAAATCAAACATCAATAACTTCTACACTACATTGAAAATCACAGAATAGTTATAATTTTATTGGGAAGGATGTACTTGACATCTAATTCTGCCCCTTTTATTGGCTCCACCTGTATGTATGTATGTATGTTTGTTTGTTTGTTTGTAACTCTCCTTTTCATTTCATATTTATTCCCGTTTGAATACTCGGGATCTGTATTTGACAGAATTATCGGCATTATTGCTTGATCTATTCGCGGGCAGTTGGCGCTGTATGTAACGTCCTCGATATAATTCGAACTCACTTTACAGGTATTTCTTCATTTGAAAAAAGTATTTTTTTTATCAACACGTGTGCCTGCTGCCTTATTTTTAACCCTCCTTAGCGCGCCTGCTGCATTCTTTGGGCTTGGTAGCTGATTTTCAGGCTCCCTCTCCGGATTCGGAAAATATCGATGGTCATGTTTCTAAATAATCTACGGCTGATTGATCCCAAAGTTTAGATAAAATAAATATAGTTTAAAAAGACTAAAAAACACGCTATCATTCACATTAGTTCTACTTTAAATGAATGGTAACAAATTACACTTACATGGAACACTGTCATCCTCACTGGTATACATCGATGTTTCGCCTCAAGACACTTGCCCTAAGGCTCTTCAGTACCAAATTGGATAACATTATAGAAAATACTCACAATTCATTCATGAATAAGCTTGATATGCTTATGTCATCGATGACATCGTAATGACATTCATTCACCTATTTGATTAATGAGTTCTAAGTTTGAGTAGCTACTCTTGTAATATTACATTCTGGACACGTTTGTCTGAACATGGAATTTGCAAGTTTTTACTTGAAAACGTCGCTGAGTTTCTCAAAATATCATCTGTCTACATTCATAGGTGAAGTCAAGCTAACATTTCACTTCCTCACTATAGAAACCAGATGAAGTTTCATGAACCTCCGCTCACGAATTGTGAATCCCTATTTTTGGTCACGCCAACGTAGATCCCCGTCGAGACTTTCGTGAACCTTTGGAGGTCCATCTGGACCACTTTGGGAATCACTGATTTGGAGTATCATTCGAGGTCAACCTGTAGTCCCGATTAAAAACATGCCGTATAAGGTTTATAAACTATTGATGAATATATAATTCTGAATAATTTGCACTTTTCATCAAATATTACGTTATAATTAATAATTTTTCTCAATAATTCAGTATGTATTAATTTAATATCACTTACCTACTCATGTAATTATAAAGTTATTAAAGGAACCCATTTTGTGCATTTAGAAACTTGAGTATCTATCAACTTAACATGCCACACAGCCCCCTACAGCTCTGAGGAATGATTCTCTACAGACCCCTACGACTCCAAAGAATGATTCTCCACAGCTCCCTACGACTGAGAGGAATATATCTGATAGACCAGAGCTTCGAAAAGGATACACCGAAATATGTCCTGTGAGGTCAATAAAATTAATGGATCCCATTCTTTAATTCTAATCTTATTTGTACTAATTATTTCTTAACTGAATAAAAAGAAGAGAATCAATTTTTCAATTATCGTTTTCATTGATGAATACTATTTCATGCATTTATGAACGATGAAATTGAAAAAATTGAATGATAATAAGAACTACAAGTCCCAATTTTAATATTTTCTTCTTCGTCATCGTCTTCCAGTCTCTGTAAAATTTCAAATTCATCTATCGTTGAAGACAAGGAAGTACCGTCTTCATAGGTATCACTCTGACTTAAAACATTCAAACAAGCTTGCCCATTACATTGGCCACTGGCTGAATAGCACTGCAACTCTTCTTTCCTGCATCCATATTGCAAATCACAAATATTCGTGCAGTTGCAGAATATTGTATTAAGCAATTCCTCCGGAGTTGGTGGATTCATTGTCACAACAAGTTACAGGAATTCATCAGGCATTATCTAAATCATGCCTTAAGCAAGTCCAAACTTGATAATAAACTCTGTTAATAAAATAGGTAATAAAAATGCAAATTACTTAGAATTATATATTCATCAATAATTTTGATGAATATATAGCCAAGCGGTCGCTAGCGGTCGGTAGCCAAGCGGTTCGGCGTGGGTGATTTGTTCACTCACTCGAATTGACTGCCGTGTTGGTCGGTGGTTCAAGCCCTAGTCTGAACGATCGATCTTCACTTGCTATCGTCCAACCCGTGTTAGGAATCACACGTTAAAAGGTAAGACCTCGTTAATTCTTAGCTCGCACAAGTTTCGACTTCTGAGGGTTGTCGTTCGTAGGGGTGCGACAGCTGGTTAACGGAAAAACAGATTTTAAACAGATTTTAAATAGATTTGAAACTTTATACAGCGTGTTCTTAATCGGGACTACAGATTTACCACGAATGATACTCTATCTCGAAAATACTTTAAGGTATAAAAAAAGGTCGAATAAAAGTTGTAGAGAATTCAATCCTCTTCAATATTTATGATGAATACGAATAGCGTAAAACCCATAGGAAACGAGATATTTGCAATAAATATATAAAAATCGATTTTTTGACATTTGACCTTGGAATATACGTAGTCACGGACATCCTAGGTTTTGAGACACGTTCCAGGGTGCCAAAATGAAAGTTTGTACAACTTTATAGCCCACTATTTCTGATTTCCAGATACTTAGCCTCATTTGACTAATATTCCTGGAGTGAAAGGATAACAAGAAACTTCACAAATAATGCAACAAAATGAGTAACACAATTGGACAGAAGCCCACTAGATATCTGAAAAATATTTGAAAAAATATTTACCTTATACACATTCGAAGTGAATTCGAGATTACCAGCGACCAACTTTTTGAGAGCCTCGTTATCAGCTGCAGATGCAACAACGAACGTGATGGTTAAAAGGGTCAACGGAATTCGAATCATACTCATTCTATATGGAATAAAATATTTCAATTAGTTTTTGTTAGATAAATAACAAATTTGAGTTGAAACTGAAATTGATTGTCCTGAAAAAATATCATTAATTTATAATTATTATTGATTATTGAAATACAAAAATTATAAGCTTCATTTGTCCCGAAATTGACAATAAACTCGAGTTCATTATCTACAATTTTAATGTAAGATGGTATAGTTATACTGGGCTTTTGCTTTGTTCTAACAAATATCTCGTACTCGAGTAAGTAAACCAGGTAGTCTAACATATGTGGAGAGTGCTGTATTTCGATGCGTAGTTTGCTGTGAGAGGATTTCAAGTGGTGGTAATCTGGGCGCAAAACACCCTCATAACCTGCATGCATTACCAATATTACCTCATTACCTGCATGCATAAAAGAATATGTTCAGGATTATGGAGCTCCCTAATTGTTGATGTCTACTTTATGTTTCGCTAATTTATTCATTTCATTCATTTATTTATTTATTCAAAACATCCAGCAGGCCAAACAGCCCATTTACAGGTGTATACAATTAGAAATATAATAAGTATACATATAGTAAGATTAATTTTGAATAAACGAAGAATCTCTTTTTTGAATTGTTTGAACGTAAGAAAAAATATATCTACACTAGGAACATTATTAACACTTCTAGATATAGTAGTTATGGGAGAATGAAAATGATGCAGTGTATTGGAAACTGGAATATGAAATGTGCTACAGAATCTAGATGAAATACTGGGTACACTGAATAGCATTTGAGACAATAGAGGCGAGCAATCTATCTGTCCATGTATTATTTTATATGCAAAACACATATCTCGACTTTGCCTGCATTTTTTAGAGATATCATTTGGAACTCATCCAACAAATGAGTCATAACTATAAACCCTCTCGGGATAACACATATCTCGGCTTTGCCTGCATTTTTTTAGAGATATCATCTGGAACTCATCCAACATAACTATAAACCCTCTCGGGATAAACACCATATTGTTTAAAATATGCATATTTCAAAAACATTTTTTGAACATTTTCTAAACTAGATATATGTTTCATGTGGGATGGATTCCAAACGACACTGCAGTACTCTAAATTGCTCCTGATCAGTGTAAAGTAAACTGTTTTCAAAGAATGAAAGGTCTGCCAAGTCAGATAAAGACTTGGCAGGTACGTATCATAGTTGACGTCATTGTCATCTTGACTATATACACCACTGAAGTGTGTTGCAAATGCATTCACGATAAAGTGTGCTGATCCATGTGTTTGATTATCATAAGCCATTTGACCCGGAATGCGACTTATTTTTTTTTTTGAATTTATGTAATTCCAACTTTCAATCAGTTGTTATTCTGGATTTGATAATTTTTCTTACATTTTTCATGCGCCCTAAATAAATGCATTTTCAAAAAGGTAGTGATTTTTTTATTTTATCTGTCTAATTAAATCAATACCAAATTGGGTACGAATTTGATCTAGATTTTGCAAGCGGAGTACATTCAGAAATTATCTTTTGAACAATGTCATGGAAAGTTTCACACATAGTCTACATCGTTATGATTGGATAAAAGTTGAGTCCAATTAATTTCACACAGTAACCGAGAAGACTTTTGTGCATCGACTCTTTTCATGTTATACTGTATAACAGTTGATTGGAATTTTTTATAGCTTACAGCATCGTTGGACAGCTTTACCGGAAGTCCTGGGTGATGGGGATCAATCGGTACTAATGGATCTTCATTATGTTGCACGACACATACAGATTCGGTTGAACATATCACTGAATTCAATAGCCTGCCAAAAAATCAACAAATCGCCGAATTAGATTCGTTTGGTAACCATTGTCGTAGAATTCTTGTAGCTCAGAGAGATTAAAATCACCAATAATAAAGAATTTGTTCTCTTCGAAACAGTTTTCCACGAGTCCAAAGAATTCATTGTAATCTTCAATTGTTGTTTTTGGAGGAATATAAACTGCAGCAATATATATTAATTTCATATTTTCCGTTGATACTTTGACACAGAGAAAATCAATTGTGTCAATAGGCAAAGTGAGTTCATATATTTCTGCTTTGAATAATATAATGTTCACATCTACTAATAATTCTCCGTTGCTCACTCCATCATGTAACTATCTCTCTGAGATTACAATTATATTTTGGTCACTTCCTCCTATATGGCCTTGCGTTCAGTTCAGCTTGGTCCAGGAATGTTCAGTTGCACGTAGCTCATTTGTATAACTGATTTTGAAAGTATATTTTTCACTTTTTATGCACAGGCAACCGAATTGGTATACAATAATTCTAACTTAATCCAGGATTTTTACATTTCAAATAGATATTTTCTGGTTTTTCGAACATGATGTATGTTTTTTCATTCAGACCCACATTTCCATATAAAATTATTTTCGATTTTTAAAAATTATAAATTGATTTATTTGGAAAATCATATTCTCGATAAATTTATGAATAAAATAATATTTTACATTACCGGGAAAGAAAGTGGCTTTCTATTTTTCCATCTTGATACAAAACATGTGAGAATCTTCCAAAGAAAGGAAGGAAGTAATTTATTTCAAAAATTAATTCTATACAAGGATGTGCAGTATTGTGACCCAGAGAATAAAAATGGGTTGCTTGATGAGTTGACTGAATAACAAATATTTCATTTGGAAACTTACAATTTTCAACAAATCGCATATTCAAAACCAACAAATTACTAGACTACTCATTATCAAAGTCTAAACGATCTTCGAAAAAATTAAAGTTTTAATGATTACACGATTCGTCATAAATACTATTCATTACATTTTGATTTGAATTATTCGATTTTTATTCAGATCAGTGTTCAATTTATCCACTTTCATATGTATTTCTATATGTCACACCGAAGAAATGACTACCATTCGATAAAAAATTATCTATGCAGTTGAATTATTCAGATTCCTTTGTTTTATGTCAATTTCAATCGTTATCAAAAATGTTTGAACGTTATCAGTTATATATTATTGACTTACCCTTTCTCTATATTCATGTTCAACTATGTACTGTTCTGTGAAAAGCGTTTCTTTTATATCCATAGTTTGAAATGGAATGTGCTATCAACAGTTTTCCTTATTCATTATTCCTACTTGAATATTTCAGTTTCTAGAAAGCATTGGCGTCTATGAAAAACTTAACTTCATCATTTTTGACAAAAAATTCCCCCAAGTGTTGAAGACAACCAATTTTTATATATTCCAGTTTTTCTGATCGATTCTCGTGAAAAGTATTATCCTCTAGCGTCATCTGAATACCACAAGAACCGAAATAGAAATAGAGATAAGTATTCAAATTCCTGCTAAACTTCTAGAAGTTATAGGATTTGGAGAAACTTCATCTGGCAAGGAGTTCCATAAATCGTCTGATGAAACTGATGAAACTATACTGTCAGTCGACAGGTTTATGCATATAGAGTGTGTATAAAGTCTGACCCTCTTGCATATCATTTTTGTGGGGCGATCTGGTAGAACAGAAAGATCATCAACTATGCAGTTGGCTTCCATGCATCTCTGGTCGAATTTGAACCAAATGTGAGCTACAATAAACCCTTTAGGGTTTTAGTGAAGAGCCTAATTGATTCACTCACTTTGGATGTAATTCAATCTAACCTAATCTAATTAAAGATCTAATATGAAATAAATTACTCAAACGGAGTCGAGAAACTTCAAAGTGTGTTTCACTTATTATCAGAATTTTCTGGTATGGAAAAGAAGGTCAAACAGCCCAAAACCGGTCTGCAAGTATTTTCCAATAATTAAAAATCGATTCCAGAAGTTGTATCGCCAACAGCAAATGCAAGAATAACTTTAGTGAAGAATCCTGCACCGACATCTCTAGTTGTTTTCTGATAGGTGTCAGTCAGTCTATGGGGTAAGTTGAGAATGGCCGGAATGAATTATTCTTTTAGATAATTTCACAATAATATAGATTTCAACAGGTAATCTATGGTTCAAAATGTCTTTATTGAAATAAGAATGGAAAAGGAGAAATAACTGAATAACATGTGAACTTAGAACCACCAAGACACTTAACGTCGTAATCAACAGTTAAACCTTTACGAATACCATTTTTGATGAAAAAATTGTATGTGAAGGTTTCTTCGAAGAATACATCATCATGCCTCTTATAAATGAGCTAATGGATTCTGAATCCCACTCCAAAGTAATATGAAAAGTTGAAAATATTAACTTTCGAAGATAAATGGTTCGAATTCCTAACTTGGATCTTCAGAACGTGCATTTGTTGAGAATAACTATTAAAACCAATTGAACCTGAAGCAACCAGATTTTGTAATTATTCTAATAAAATATACGATATAATTATCATTTCTTGAAAGACAAATAGATTTGAAAACATAAACAATATATTGACCAATCATCTTCCAATCATTATTGCAAATTACTACGAAATGCCATTCTCACCTGCCACCAGGAAGAAAGTTCGAGATTATTACGTTTTATTGAAAAAAATAGTACGGTATTTTTCTAAATCCTTCACCTTGTAGGCTGCTAAGACTTATTATCATTTCAAAATCCATTACACTTTCAGCATTCTGGCTGGAGAGTTCTACTCTACAATATATTAAAGTAACAGCTGAAGAGGCAGCAGTTACTTTCTGATCCATTGAACAAAAAACTAATAAAATAGAACAACCTCATAATTGGCAATAAGCCAATTATGAGGTTGTTATCAACCAACAGCTAGCACATACAAATATAGTTATTTCAGATCTTCAGGCAAAAGCATTATCAATCTAATCTACGGTATTATTCTCGGTTTCTAGAGTAGAAACAAATAATTGCAAGATACTACATTAGAGTTTTTCAGTAACTTTTCATAAAGTGGGATAACTATAGTTGCTAATTTACTTAGAAGCGAATTTTAAATCGATTTCTGCAACATCAGAGGAGTAGAATCAAATAACAATCAAGTGAAACATCTGTAAGAACTAAAAACCTCAGTACCTCACTGAAAAGCCATGAAATGGGAGGAGTAGCTATTTATTTAAGACAAAAAAAATATATCATTCAAATCACTCAATTTGAATTCATTCAGTATGAAAATTCATTCTGAATTCTGTGGCATTCTGATTTAGGACCTGAAAACATATGTGTTTACTTTATACAGATCCCCTTCTGGAGATTTCAGGATATCTATGGAAAACCTAGAACGCTTATTGGAACACTTTTCTATAACGGACGGAAGAGTCATAATTTTGGGTGATTTTAACATTCATTTTGAAATCATAAATGATCCTATGCTGAATGGACTATTATATTTGCTGAATTCTTTTGGCTTTCCATGAATATTTATGATAACACAAGAAAATCTAGCTGTATCGATAATATATTATCTAACTTTGAAAGCAAGTTTGTTAAGAATTGGCATTCTAGAACCATGCATATCCGATAATTTTGGGCAATATGCAATCATAAACAAAAAACTTGAACAGTCTGCAAATATATCATCCTATGAAAGAGTTATCACAATTTCAGGCTTACAGAAAATGAAAAATGCCCTGTATAATGTGGTCTGGGAGATTTTAAAAAATGATGAATTAAGCGTAAATTATCTTGCAAATTTTTTAGTGAATACGTTTCATGATTCAGTTGAAAAAATATTTCCATTGAAGAAAAAATCTTTACACAAAAAGCAGTTGATAAATTGGTTTGATGATGAGCTGAAGGCCCAAAGATCACTCTTGTCAAATATTAAACTAATTTCGGATGTGAGTAAAAACCCCGGTGACATAAGAGTTTATAAACTGGTGAAGAAGGCATATGTAAAAAAATAAAAATTGCAAAAAAATATGCATATGATGATTATATTCGTTCCGCGAAAAACTAGTCCAAAGCTAGCTGGCAAGTTATCAATTTTGAAAGGAACAAGGCTAAATCAACTCCCATCATTAATATAAATATTACCTCTTACGATTTTAATGATTATTTTGCCCAAGTAGCTGAATCTATCATAAAATCTCTACCTGGTATTCCTGAAAAGGAATTACTACATTTCTTAAAGTACCTTCCAGCACCTTCATCTTCTTTCTTTCTACTTCCAGTTACCCACTCTGAAGTTGAGGATACCATAAAATCGTTGAAAAATTCTTCATGCGTTGACGTTCACGACTTGAATAGTAGCATCATTAAAAAAACATCAGATATAATTCCGATACCGTTAACCGAGCTTATTAATCGTATATTCATCACAAGAATTTTTCCAGATATTTTCAAACTTTCGAAGGTTATTCCCTCATACAAAAAAGGAGATGCTTCACTGATTGAAAACTATCGTCCGATTTCCATCATTTGCATTTTTTCCAAGATCATTGAAAAACTTCCGAAACAAAGATTAGCAAATTATTTCGAAACTAACAGATATTTCAGTGACTCGCAGTTTGGTTTTAGAGCTGGTGGCTCAACCACAGCAGCGGTAATGGATATAATCAGTGGCATAGTCGAGAGCATTGAACAACGGAATCATACAGCTATCACGTTGTGCGACCTCTCGAAAGCCTTCGACTGTGTCGATCATGACATCTGTTGTAGAAACTAATTCAACACAGTGTATTTTTTATATGAAAGATAAAGTTGTGGGCGAACTTCAACTACAGCAAAAACATTAACTTTATTTATAGCAACTATACATCATTTTTTTTTAATCAATAGAACATAAATAAACAAGGACAAAACATAATCACTTAATGAAATCTAATTCAACAACATCCTACTGAAAAAATTATATTTTTATGGAATAAGAGGAGTTGCATTATTACTTTTCGAATCCTACCTGAATAATCGANGTAATAATCAACAATTTAACCTTCACGAATACCATTCTTAATAAAAAAATTGAATGTGAAGGTTTCATCGAAGAAGACATCATCATGCCTCTTATAAATTAGCTAGTGGATTCTGAAACCCACTCTAAAATAATATAAAAAGTTGAAAATATCAACTTTTGAAGATAAATATTTCGAAATTCCTAAATTGAATATTCAGAAAATAAATATTGAAAATAACTCTGAATAACTAATCGACCAATCTACTTCCAATCATTATTGCAAATCACTACGTAATGCCATTATTACCTGCCTCCAGGAAAAAAATTCGAGATTGTCATGTTTCATTGAAAAAAATTATTCGGTATTCTTCTAGATTCTTCACCTTGTAGGCTGTAAAGATTTATTAATAATTCAAAAATCATTACACTTTCAGCATTCTTGGTGGAGATTTGAACTCTACAAAGTACTAGCTGAAGAGGCACGCAGTTACTTTCTGATCCGTTGAACAAAAAACTACTTAATTGAATAGAACAACCTCATACTTTACAATTAGCAATAAATTGTCAACCAATAGCGAGCACATAACAATATAGTTTATTTCATATCAGAAAACATTATCCGGTAATACATCAGAGTTTTTATAAAGATGGATAACAATAGTTGCTGATTTACTTAGAAGCAAATTTCAAATAGATTTCTGCAGTATCAGAGGAGTCGAATCGAACAATAATCAAGTAAAACATCTGAAAAAACTAATAACCTCCGTTTACTACCTACTCACTGAAATATAACTAGCTAGCATGGTAACCCTTCGAAATAATCACCACTACTTTTCTTTCCAATTAGACATAACTTTGACTAAGTGACCTAGACCATCAGCAACTTAACCAGGTTGATGGCTAGTATCGTTAAAAAAATCCATCAAATTAACAATTGCACCTTCAAACTTTGCATTGCTGAACTAGTCGCCTAATATACAGTTGATTTTTCGGTGAAATCATTTTGTTATAAATAATGTGATGCAATTGCTGATAATTCTATGGCCAACCTCATCATTCTTAATGAAATCTTGTTTGGAAACATTTTCTTTCGAAAAACAAATATTGAAACAATCGCCAATACAGTTCTTCGATTGCAATCTCAATAAACTGATACCAATAACAGATTTTTAACAAAATGTAATATACAGGGTCCTCCAACAGTGGCGCGGTGTTCCATATCTCAATTTAGGAAACAGATAGGAATTTTAATTTC